AAATTTGGTTTCTTGTGCGTAGAAATCGATAGATCTGGGTTGGTTCTGAAAATAATACAAATTATGCATTTTAGAATGAAAAATAAAAAAAACATTCGAATAGTAAGTTTGAACAGTTAGTTAAATTGTACACTGTAAGGAAAGGGAAAGATGTGTAGTTCATCTAACCGCCTCTAGATGGCTCAGAAGATGATATCCCTCTCAAAAGTGAAATGGTCCACACAGAAGTTTAAAAGGTGAAGTCTGATAGTACGAAATTGATTCTTCCCAATCAAAAGGGATATGATGACTGGGTGAATCTCGTGCTGATACGATACGCCTGCACCGTTTCATTTCTTGTTACGTTTAAAGCAGGTTAAACCCATCTGATCCCATTTTTTTTTTAAATATTGAAAAATAAAGTTTTAATCTCAACCTTTAGCCTGTAGTGTACATTAAAGATTGCATTTGATAATTACACATTCAATCTAACTGTTCCAGTACTATCTTGAAGAAGAAAATACAAGTATTCTTCACAACACTTATCTCGCGCACAGTTTCATGAAAAATGTAATTTTAACGAGAATGGTACGGAGACATGATTAAAATTAGGCTCAAGGAAAATAAAAAAATGTGCAATATTAAAACATATAAGCACTAATTCGTTAATTTAGGTTGTATCGAATAACACAGTTCGCTAACTTTAATTAATAATTGTAGTAGATTAAAAGTGTCATATCGAACTCTTCCAATAATAATTTAAGAAAGAACTCGAAAAAATAGTCGCTAATGATTTTCAGGTCTTATATTCAACCTACACCATTTTGTTATTTATTCATGATGTTTCCTTTAATATAAGAAACTTGGAATGTACATTTAACACAGCGAACGAATGACAGGTGTCCCATGCGGATTAAAGTTAAGGAGGGAGCAAAGAGAACCGACGCGCGCTTCGGCGCTTGGTACGTTTTCAACGAAAGGGGTTATGTACGCTCGATTTTCAACATTCATAGGAAACATTCGTGAGAGAAAGGAAAGATGAACTAATTGGATACCGAGAGTTCGGACGTTTATTTGTTGCTGAATCGCAACGATTTGTGCGGAAGAAAAACGATATCTGTGGAATCTTACTTTCGAAGGCCTGTAGGAATAGCTCATGATCCGCTTGTATCTGATCCATCCGGGGGCCCTTCTGTCCATCCAATTCTTTCTCCCGCTTTTTCGGCGGCATTTTCACACGATTTGTTGTCAAATATCCCACAGAAACTCACTTTCGTCACGTGAAAATACAATGACAACACCCGCCCCGCGCGAAATCTGCGGCACTAAGCCTACAACTAAAGCGCACCCTTATGTTGAAACTAGTAACCAGCCTAACCAATTGCATACATATGTATACGCATGT